CCCAAAGGCTTTCATCTGGAGACTAAATTTAAGGGAAAAAGGGGGAGGGTGAGGGGGGGGAAAAAAAAGAGAAAAAGAGGAAAACCAAATGCTTGTGGGGGAATGGTTTTGGGGTTTTTTTGGTTTCGTATTTTGGGTCTCCAGCCCTCAGCCAAAGGTGGAGATGACGCACGAATCCTGCCGGGGCTCTTTGGAAGCTCCTGGAGCAGCTCAGCCTCGGCTCCCCGTGGCACAGATCCACGTGGGAGCCACAGGGATCAGGAGCCAGGGCTCAGAGACACCTGGGAGGTGGCCAGGGGCCAGAGGATCCCTGTGAGCCCTCCAGGAGGACAGGAGGGACCTCATCCTCCCATAAAACAGATTTTTAACCTTTTTAGGGGGTGAAAAAAAGGGGATTAGGAATTTTTTCACATTAACAGTGGCTGAAGGAAGTCTGAAATTTTAGAGGGTTTAAATATTTTTGTTCTCCAGGATTTTTCTTTGGAATATCAACCCTGCCAGCCAGGATATGTTCCTGCTTTCTGGAATGGGGTCAAAGAGTCTTTTCCTGTGACCCTTGTGGTGAGGATCTTCCCAGGAGAGATCCCCCTCAAGCTGGGTCAGGAATTTTAAGTGGAAACTTTCTCCTTTCCCAAACATCCGACACCGCTGGGCTGTCGGCAGGGCTGGCCCTCGATTGGAGCTGCTCCAGGATGATCCCAGAGGGATTCTGGCTCTCCAGGCAGATCCCTTCCAGCAGAGCTGAACGTGGATCTTATCCCTGACCACAAACAACTCCCTAAGAAAGGCTGGAGAAATCCCATCCTTGGATAACTGTGGGATGCGTTTTCCTGAGGATCTCCCCAAAACTGCTGCCTCTTGGTGGGCCTGTCCTTTTCCCTTCTTTGGAGTGACAAACCCAGCATGGATTTGACCACGGGTTCAAATGGAAACCACATCCAGGATTTATTTTGCTCCAAGCCAACCCTACTTTTCCTCAGAAAATCTTCCTTTTAAATCCTATCTGTGAGTAGGAGCTGGAGCATCATAAAATCTGGTTTGTTGCTTTTCCCAGGTTTTTCTTTGGGATCTCATCCCATTATCTCTTCCCTCTTTCTGAGGGATGAGGAGGGCACAGGCCTGGATGTCCCAAAACAGACACCACATCCCAAATTCTGGATCATCCGAGGAGGAAAGCACTGGGCCCAGCTGCTTTCCCTGTGTCCAAGGGCATCTGAAATCCCAAAATCTGTGGATGGCAGCTCCTCTGAAAAGTGGGAAGAACTTTTCCAAATTGGAAGGCTCTATGTTGGGGCCGTAAACTCCTAAAACCATCTCAGGGGCAGTCTGGCAAACTGCTGCCTTGTTTGGGAACTCCCAGAGGGAATTTCTGGGGTGATAAATCCTAAAAAACCATTCCTTGCAAAAGGTTGAGTGGGAATTCATTCTGCCTTTGGATTAGTGCAGATTAATTGGATCTAATTCTCCTCTGCTAATGGGTGAAGCCTCCAAAGCCTTGAAAATCCAGGTGATTCCTCCTCTTGGACTATTTGGGATTGGATTTGCTGTAGAGGATGGAGCAGGGGTTCTGAGGAGCTCAGGATGACTTTTTCCAGGGGCGGGATTTGTGTCCATGGGATTAAACCACTGGATATTGGAAATTTTCTGTCCCAGTCCCAGACCCAGGTCTCCAACCAGCACCAACACCCGGGATCTCCAAATCCCTGGGTGTAGAATTTTGCAGGGAACCTCTGACAAAGGGAGGAAATGATGCATCTGACTCCACTGATATCAGAAGGCTAATTAATTACTTCATTATACTATTCTATTTTATACTGTATTATACTATGTTACATTACATCTAAACTGAATCTGCCAAGCACTCAACCCTGCACAACCTGCACAGGATCTCGTGGCTTCACCCTCAGTCCTGACACACACACACACACACACACACACACACACACACACACACACACACCTGGGCCTGACAGCCAAGGAATCAAACCACCATCACTGTGGGTAAACAATCTCCATATTGCATCCTGCTTTGGCACAAAATGATAAGAATCGTTTTTTCCTTCTGTGAGGTTCAGAGAATATGAATCCCAGAAATATTCTTGGTAAGAATTGTGCCCTGCTTTTCTCTGTGAACAGAAACATGGGGCTATACACCAGGCCCTGACAGGCCCAGGAACCAAACCACCATCACTGTGGGTGAACAATCTCCATATTGCATCCTGCTTTTGCTTAAACACAGGCACAGAAAATGAGATAAGAATTTTTTTCCCTTTCTCTGAGGTTCAGAGAATGTGAATCCCAGAAATATTCTTGGTAAGAATTGTGCCCTGCTTTTCTCTGTGAAGAGAAATGTGGGGCTACACACACTTGGCCCTGACAGGCCAAGCAAACGAAACACCATCACTGTGGGTAAAGAATTTCCATATTGCATCCTGCTTTGGCACAAAATGATAAGAATTGTTTTTTCTTTCTGTGAAGTTCAGAGAATGTGAATCTCAGAAATATTCTTGGGAAGAATTGTGCCCTGCTTTTCTCTGTGAGGAGAAATGTGGGGCCACGCTCTGGGCCCTGACAGGCCAAGGAACCAAAGCACCATCACTGTGGGCAAACAATCTCTGCATTCTGCTTTTGCACAACACAGGCACAGCATATGAGATAAGAATATTCTTGGGGAGAATTGTGCCTTGCTTTTCTCTGTGAGGACAAATGTGGGGTTACACACTGGGCCCTGACAGGCCAAGGCACCAAAACACCATCACTGTGGGTGAACAATCTCCATATGGCATTCTGCTTTTGCACAAACACAGGCACAGCAAATGATAAGAATTTTTTTTTCCTTTCTCTGAAGTTCAGAGAATGTGAAACCCAGAAAAACATTCTTGGGAAGAATTGTGCCTTGCTTTTCTCTGTGAAGAGCAATGTGGGGTTACACACCGGGCCCTGACAGGCCAAGGAACCAAAACACCAACAATTTCCATGTTGCATTCTACTTTGGCACAAACACAGGCACAGCAAATTAT